CAGCACAGACCCTAGAGTGCAGAAAACGGATAGGAGGAAATGATTAGATGGCAGTAAGACGGAGGAGGAGGCCGTGGACGAGGGAGTGCATTTGTGCTCGAGTATTGCTGTCGCTAGTTGTTCGTTTTTTGTGTTGGCTCTCTGGGGGGGCTCGTCGTCGGGGGCGCCCAAGACGGGTGCATCCAAGAAATACTTTTTTGAGGCGCAGGAGATGGGTGCGGACAGCGGTGCGCGTCATGGCCGGAAGCATGTGCGCGGACGAGGGGGTGCGGGGCCGGGAGATTCACTGAAAGAAGAAAAAGAAGAAGGGCCCTGAAGCCTGGGGAGATATCATGGCACCGGCTATGAGATCCAATCGCCTCCTAGAATCACCACCCCCCTCGTAGGCACCCCCCAATTATATCGACGCCACGGCGCGACTGTCCCGGACTACTCCGGAAAACGTAGCCTTGCTGTCGCCCCCTGTGCTCGGCCGCGCCGCGCCCCCCCCCGGGCCCGCCGCCAAGGGGTGAGGGCTCGGCCGTCAGGCGCTGGATAATCCGACCAAGCGTGGAGCCGAAAGCGAAGCAGGGATTTATCTATAGTTAGCCACCGCCAGGGGGATCGATCGGCAGGCGGTGGATACGGACATATCGCCTGCCGACGTCCCCGAAGATCGATCCCACGGGCGGTGGTGATGGATAGATCCCCGCTTCCCCAGCGCCCCCCTGCGCTGGAGGCACCAATGTATCGAGGGCGGCGCCTGGCGGCGGGATCGAAACCGGCTGCACGCAGCAGATTTCGTAACCCACCATTTCTCTTTTCCCGCCCTTGCGTTCGACCCGATCCTGGCAACGTCGTCGTCGTCCTCGGCGTCGTCAGGACAAGTTTTTCATAGTGATTAATCCAATCCTGGGGGCTGTGGAGAGCCTTGGGAGCCCGGAGCGGCGAAAAACCTCGAGACCTGTCTCCCTCAAGACCCGTGTCCTTCATGGCGATCCCCTGCCTGCCATCGCCATCGCCCTCGACCTCGACCTCGACCTCGACCTCGACCTCGACCTCGACCTCGACCTCGCCGTCGACCTCGCCGTCGACCTCGCCGTCGACCTCGCCGTCGTCGCCGTCACGCCTCCTCTGCGGCCGAGGCCCCGCCGCGGCGGGCGCGGGCGCCCCCCCCCCCCCCCCCCCCCCGGCGGAGCGCGGCACCGCCCGCGAAGGGTGCCGAAGATGTCGCTGCTGACGAGTTTGGATGGGGCGCCGCCTCGCTGGCGGCACTCTTTTCCACGAGCGGCAGCGAACCCCACGGCGGTTCGAGGGGGGGAGGGGAAAGTTGAGGGGAGGAGGGGGGAAACATCCCTTCCGCAGCAACATCCACAAATTCCGACGGTGTCCCTGTTAGCGCGCGCGCGTGCCGCTCGCGTCACGATCCTAGTGGAAAAGAGGGGATGGGGGGCGAAACGTACCGCAGCTGGCAGGTGGCACACTTCTGTGGTTACTTCTGCCTCTGTGGGCCCTTTCAAGGCCTGAGAGCCCCGCCAGCAAAAGGTCAACAGTCGCTCCCGGGGAAAGGGGCGAGGAGTCCGCCCTGTGGGAAAGAAGCAAAGAATCGGGAAACATCGATGCTTGGCCCTGTTTGGGCGAGTCTCCCTCTAGCGATGAGGAACGGAGACCACACCTGTCACCACTGCGCCCTTCGTGAAGCACCCTTCGCCAAGCAAGTGCTGCACCGTTTTGTTGAATCGGCCCTTGCAACGCAGGCGTTCACGCAGCCACGGGAAGTCAGGACTGCCCTGCGGGCCATCAAGTATCATGTGCACAAGGAACTCCCAAGCCCTGGAGCGGCCTTCCGGAATGAGCGCCCATCCAGCAAGTGACCCCCCATTAGGACGAGGAGGAGGAGGATTCTCCTAGGATTAACCTCAAGCTGACCCTGTCATACCAGGAGGAGGAGGAGGAGGCGGAGGAGGAGCAGGAGTGGGAGGAGGGGGAGGAGGTGGAGGAGGAGGAGGAGTTGGAGGAGGAGGAGGAGGAGGAGGAGGAAGAGGTGGGAGGGGGAGGCGAGGGAAGAGGTGGAGGAGGAGGAGGTGGAGGAGGAGGAGGTGGAGGAGGAGGAGCAAGTGACCCCCCATTCAGGCCAACTCCAAACAGGCTTTTTGAACAGGCAAAACTGGAGGCAGGCGCGCGATCGCCGACGCCGGGCGCGGAGCCCCCTACTGGGCACATTGGGGAGCTGCGCGGTGCGGCGCGCAGCCAACCCAGCGAAGTCCGCCACGCTGCCGCTGGCGCAGCGCAGGCCCCCTGCCATGACGGACTGCGTCGGCGCTGGATTCAACCACTGCGTGACCCGTTCGGCTTTGAACGATCTCGGCCGGCCTTCCAGAGGACCATCGATCCCATCTGCCCAGAGGCCCTCACTGGACTCGGGGTGTCTCGGGGCACGGGTAAGTGCCTGGGATTCCTGGGACACAACAAGCTTCTTGCCCCCGCAGGTTTTGGATGCGGAACTGGCGCGAGCCGATAGCCGTGGTTAAAACCGAGCTGGATTCGATATTCGAGGCAAGCACTCGAGAGCTACGGATCGGACCAGAACCGACCAAGAGGACTCGACTGCTCTCTCAGCCCAGATCCATCTTGCTCCGGGCCAGGTAACGCAGGGTGTCCCCGACAGCCTGCTCTGCCTAGAACTCGGCCAGGGGCTGCATTCCCCAGCCCGGATCCCTGTCCCCCGGAGCCAGGACACGGCTCCCTTCCGAAGCAGAGGCCCGAGAGGAGCGCAGCCGCGCCGGCACGACACGAGCCTGCCGCGCTCACAACTCGGGGGCGAGCCTGGCCACTGTGCGCGGCGGAAGCCTCCACGCAGGAGTCCCATCATGGCTCGCCGAGGCCCCAACCTGCAGGGGGAGGGCGAGGCTCCGAAGGGCATCGTTTGGCCGATGCCTGTCCCCACTGGCGTGGCCTTGGCCGGACTGGCCGGCGTACCCACGCATAGGTGAGGAAATATGCATGCTCCTTCGGGAGTCGCAGGGCCTATCTCCACCTAGGATGGTGGGTTGGTGAGTGTGAGATACCGAGGTCCCATGGGGACGGGAAGAGCTTAGATGATCCGACCCGAGGCCCTAGTGGCCTCCCAGATGGGGTCCGAGTAGATGGGCTCGGGGGATCGCACCGCATCGCCAATGCATCGCCGATGCATCGCCGATGAATCGCCGATGCGTTGGCGACGCATCGGCGACGTCGGCGTGGAGAACATCGGGATCCGCATCGAGCGGTATCGCCGATGCATCGGGGATGCGGCGCGGTCCTCCGACCCTGTGATCTGTGGGGGGTGAAGACCCGCTTTCCCATTTTCACTGGACTGACATGCTGACCTACAGCGCCGGCGTGTGGGCCCAAGTAAACTGAGCGCCTATCTCCCAGAGCAGTAGCAGCAGGAGATTGGCCGCGTTCGCAGGGCCTCGGTCGTTTCGATCGAGTTCTCCGAGCTGGACCCACCCCGACACGCTGGGGCTGTTCGAGAGAGGGAGCACGAGCGAGAACGAGGTTGGCAGCGGAGCTCCGTGGTTGGCCCCATGGACTCCAGGAGAGTAGCTGAGGGACTAGCCATCCCAACGAGCCATGGCGAGCGGAGACACCTACAACAGTTCAGAGGATCCCAAGATCCCCGTGCTGAAGGGCGAGACGCTGAAGGACTTCACCAGGTGCAAGAGGGCGGTGCAGGCAGCGGAGCTTGCATGTGAGACCAAGGAGCAGCGCACCTCCCTAGGGCCGAAACTGCATCGAGACCTCCTCGGCGCGGACAACTTGATCAGTGTCCTGATCGAGCAGACGGATCCGAGAGACTACGCAGTCGAGGACGGCGCGGAAGTGTTGCTCAACGTCCTAGAGACCGAACGCTTCGCGAAGAGCAGCTTCCGCGAGCTTCCGAAGGCCTTCGACACGTTCTTCGACCTGACTCACTTCGAGAGGAAGGGCGAGGGGCCAATGGCAGCGTTCTGCACGGCCATGGAGGTGGCGAGACGGAACCTAGAGGAGGTGGACCCGGATACGAAGATCAGCTCGAATGAGCTAGGGTACCACACTCTGAAGCGCAGCGGCCTAGACAAGGACGAGCGCAACCTGGTAATCGCGAGGGCGGACGACAAGACTTTCAATGCCATGAAGTTTTCGACGACTATGAAGAACCTCTTCCCTCGCGGCGGTAGCAGGCACCGAGGACAAGGTACAACGACGGGCTGGAGATGGACGATGCACTCGCACGACGTCGAGACTGGACAAGCAGACGAAGAAGACCCGCACAATTGTGGGTTCTGGGTTCAAGACGACGATGGGTACTGATATGAGTGGGATGACGGTCGCGGCGTCTATGCGTGCACGGACGAAGACGAGAAGGGAGACTCGGTCAGCAGTCACCTTTTCTACCTCGAGGACGACGCCGACGCATTCCTGGCTGGAGAAGACGATTACTACCAACAGACCCTGGTTACGATGCGAGAGAGCCGCCTGAAAATGAACAAGCTACGGGCGGCGAGAGGATTCTTCGGGGGAAAGATCGATGGTGCTGTGGACGAGGGTGCGGCAGCCGGCGGCCAGGCGGCTGGGAAGAACTCCTGGAAAGGCAAAGGCAAGGGCAAGGACGGCGGCAGGTCGAATAGGGGACCACATGTGAACCCTACCCCTACCCCCACGATTTCTGAGGGGGAGGGTGGGGTTCACTTCGTTCGGAAGCTCCCGAGCGAAGTGAACCCCACCCTCCCCCTCAGAAATCGTGGGGGGTAGGGGGGAGGGTTCGCACGTGGCCCCCTATCGAATGACAAACGCTGTGGCAGGTGCGGCCGGATGGACCACCACGCCTCGGAGCGCCCGGCCAGTGGGCCATCGGGGAAGCCAGCCTCAAAGGCAGGGGCCGCGGCAAAGGGTCGAAGTCGGCCCCTCGTCCACGACGGCTTGGCTTCTGGGCAGTGAGCGCTCTGGCGTGTGCAGTGCCTCCCTGTGTGGGCGCCTGGCACCAAATGCGTGTCCAGGACCTCGCCGACACAAAAACGCAGCCCGAGAAAGATTACGACATCATGATGGTGAATATGGGCAACGATCCGATCGTGCCGGACAGGCCAGAGCTCGAGGTGATGATCTCAAGCGACGCCGTGCCGGCTTCCTTGGTGGATAGCGGGGCCTCGATTGCAGTGGCAGGGCGCGGATGGCTTGACCGCGTCGAGGCAGAGCTCGCGAAATATGGCCTCAAGCCCATCAAGATGGAGGCTCACCTGAAGTTCAAGGGACTTGGCGGAACACGACGTGAATCAATGCAGAAGTGGATCATCCCGGTCGGCATTGGGAAGAAGCATGCGCTGCAGGAGTACTTCGAGATCCCTGGCGACATGGTCGCCTGATGAGCAGGAAGAGCCTCGCCGAGTGGAAGGCGAACCTCTACATGCGCGAGGACGGCCACTGGGCGGACTTCCAGGAGCTCGGGGTGCATGGCAAGGAGCTGGTGAAACTACCTGGCGGACACGCAGGCCTCGACCTCTTCGACTACGACTTCGAATCGTGCGAATCAGAGCCCCTCTTCGAGAAGTTCCGCGTGGATGAGATGCAGCTCGAGCCGGAGGCATTCCTGGTCGCGGAGACGTTGCAGGAGTTCGAGCTGGCCTTCCAGGTGAAGGACCACGCCGACACGTGGGTCGCAGAGGCACTGAAGAACGGCAGCAAAGGCATCTTCAAGAAGGGCACGCTAAAACGGACCGACAAGCTGATGAAGGAGTATTCGGTCGTTTTCGACGTACTGCGCGACAACCAGGAGACCTTCCCGTGGGAGTTGTTTGCGAAGGAGGCTTGCTTTACTCGCGTAGCCTCGAAGGGTGGTCATGCGAACGCGACCCCCTCAGATGTGTCGGTCGGGGTTAACTTCAACGACCCCCAGACTCAGTAGGATTTCCTGTTCCTGATGAAAACCTTCGAGCCCTGGATGGTCTCGGTCGCGTTCCCATGCACACCCTTCTCGAACATGCAAGAGTTTCAGCGTGCTCAATGGGCGGCCGGGTGGATTATCTGATCGAGGAGTTCAGGCCGCTGGTCGATTTCTCGGCCAAGGTGCTTCGGGCTCAGGCTGAAGGCGGACGTATCGGCATCCGCGAGAACCCTCTCACGAGCCGCTCATGGAACGAGGAGCCGATCATGGATTTGTTGCGCTGGCTCGGCGACCGACCTCCACCATACGAGATGGTCACGCTGCACCAGTGCATGTTCGGACTGACGGACGACTACGGGACACCGACTCGGAAGGCCACGCGCATGTTGGTGCCCAGTCTCATGCTTCTCGTGGTGGCTCGACCGCACGTGCGACAAGAGCCACGAGCACGCCGACATGGTCGGACGGGGCATTCTGCTCTCGCGGGCCAGTGCCTGGCCGGACACCCCGGGGCAAGACCTTGGTGAGACCTGGCGCGCATGAGCGAGCGCCGCGCGCCGACCGGAAGAAGCTGGGCATCGGAGACGGTGTGGCGAAGATCCAGCACCAGCAGACCATGCGCGCGGTGGCCAGGGAGTTCAAGCTGAGGAAGGACCTCATTGACGTACGCGTGCTGAGGCAGAACGAGGCTGTTCCCCTACCTCGCGGAGCTGTGCGGCGCATCTACGCCATGTGCACTGACAGGGGCGTGCTGACCGACTTCTCCGACGCCTGCGCGGACGACCCGAGCTTCGCAACGGTCGAGCTAGCCACGATGTGCCCAACCGACAGGTGGTCGCGATCTACGTGGAGGAGCCGAAGGTGCAGACACCCTTCCCCGCGACAGTACCCTTACTTGGCAGCCGACCGGAAGCATTCAAGCCAGACGATCGCGAAGCAGACGCAGTGCATCGAGATCTACATCGCGAAAGTGAAAACTTCGGCGGCAAGCCTTCGGATATCACCACGGCTCAGTGGGGCGCTCTACCTGAACCTGAGTCACCCATCGGCTCACGCTCTGAAGCGACGCCTGAAGTCCTACGGGGTGTCGCAGAAGGTGCTCGACGCGGTGGATAAGCTGGACTGCGTCGTGTGCAAGGAGCTCGACAGGCCCAACACTACGAGGTCAGCCAACCTGAAGCTCTCGACGGAATTCAACGAGAACGTGTTTCTTGACGACGCTTCGCGCGGCCCGCTTAGCTTCGACCGGAAGAGGTGCGCTCTCGACCCGCGAATCAAAACAGTTTCTTGACGACGCCGAGGTTCTCTCAGATACGACGCGGTTGATGGTTGCGGCGATCCTGGATGACGCGTCGAGCTTCAGGGTCATCATTCCTACAACGGCAGTGTGGTCCATCACGGGCGAGGAGAGCCTTCGCTGTTTCTCGCAAGGATGGCTCTCGTGGGCTGGCCCTCCGAAGGTACTCCACTACGACGCAGCGAAGGGCCACATCGCGCAGCGGTTCGGGGAGATCGGCGAGAAAGTCAACATCCTGATGGGGCCGGTCCCGGCCGAGGCGCCTCAGCTCAAAGGCAGAGTGGAACGGGGTATCGACTTCTTCAAGGACCATTTCCAGCGCCTGAACCGCGATGTGCAGCTCACCAAGAGTGACGACCCATCCGTTTGGACTTCGGTGATAGCGAGCACGCGCAACAATCGCATCTGGCGGAATGGTTTCACGCCCTGCCAGTATGTGCTGGGACGATCGCCCAACGTCCCGGCCTCGCTGACTGAGGCAATGGAGGGCGACCAGAGGCAGCCGGCGGCGCAGAGCGCAGCTCTCTTCGAGGATGGCCCCAGGAGGGCCGAGCAGACTCGCGCTGCGGCGAACTGGGCGTTCTTCGAGCTGGACAGCGACGACGCCGTGAGAAGGGCCACGGTTGGTCGAGTTCGCCCGCCGCGCGGGCCGTTCTTGCCGGGCCAGCGGGTGTTCTACTGGCGTGAGGTGACGCACGTGAAGTCGAAGCGGCTCCAGGGCGAGCACGGGTGGCGCGGCCCGGCCACTGTGCTGGCGGCCGAGGGCCACGCCAGGCTGCACCTCAGCTGCCGTGGGGTGCCCGTGCTCGTGACGCCCGAGCAGGTGCGGCTTGCCTCTCGCGGTGAAGCTGAGACGGTGGAGAACGAGGACCTCGCCAGACAGCTGTCGCAGTGGCGTGAAGGGCTGCGTGGACGAGCGCGGGCCTGGGCCGGACGGCAGTGGCGGCCAACGTGCCAGGCGTCGCAAGAAGGGCGACGGCGACTCGGACAATGAGGACGCCGCGGGCGACGCGCCGGCGGCCAAGGCGCCACGGGCCGAGGACGCCCCGCCGCCTCCCCCAGGGAGGTCTGAGGCTACTCCCGGGCGGGAAAAGCAGGCTGAGGAGGAGGAGGACGCACTTGAACCTGGAGTGCCGCCCGAAGTGCCACCACTACCTGGAGATGGACACGACATGCAGGACGTCAAAGCCGAACACCTACCAGGAGATGGACATGGAAAGCGAGACGTCAAAGCTAAAGAGACACCCGGAGATGGGCATGATATGCAAGATGTTACGGCTGACGACCCACCTGTGCCTGATGCAGCTGGGCAGGGGCGTGCCACGGACCGAGACGCGGCTGCCTTCGAGGGCCCCTCTACGAACGATCTCTACTTGACGACTTCGAGTCAGATCGTGAACGACTTCGAGTGCGTCGTGAGGCTCTCAAGCAGAGCCGTCTCCCGAAGATCGAGGGCGACGAGATGGACGACGAAGTTCTCTTCCGCAAGGTGAATAATCGTTCGAGAGACGCACTCGTGGCAAGGAGGACTGACACTGCGAAGAAGCAGGTCGCCCCCAAGAAAGGCCGGGAGCTTCGCAGCATCCCGCCAGAATGGAAGACGACATTCGAGGCGAGCGACCTGGAGGAATGGCGTAAATAGATTCAGCATGACGCTGTGGAGTGGCCGAGCGAAGAGGAGCTTGCGGGGGTCGAGAAGGCGGACATCCTACCCGTGAGGCGCGTCCGCACTGACAATAATGGGCCGACGAGGGGCAGTCTCTCGTACGAGCAACACCCGCTGAAGGCGAAGTCGCGGAACATCGTCCCGGCCTACAATGAAAAGCAGCTGCTCGCGGGCGAGTTGCAGACGACGCTCACGGACACGGCCACGGCGGTGATCACCCAGGAAGCTGCCAGCCAGTAAGGCTGGAACCTCGAGCAAGGCGACGTAGAGTCGGCGCTTCTGAATGGGAGATAGTTCGACAACTCCAAGCGAGTGTGCTTCCGCGTCCCCAAGGGCGGCATGCCTGCGGTGCCGGAGCTGGGAAGGCCCTTCGTCCTGTAAGGGACTATCCTGAAGGCGAAGAAGGGCATCTACGGGTTGAACGATGCGCCTCTGTTGTGGCACGAGGAGCATCGCGACACCATTATATCGCTTCCCGGGGCTTCGAGATCCAAGCTGTGCCCAGCCCTCTTCATCTTCCACGATGAGAGGGGGCAGGCGATCGGTCTGATCGGGACGCACATCGACGACAACCTCGTCGCGGGATCGCCCGAGTTCTTCGCGAATCAGGTGGCCAAGCTGAAGAAGGTGCACTGCTACGGCAAGTGGCAGACGGCGAAGGTGGGCTTCCACCACTGCGGGCGTTTCCCCAAGCAGAACGACAACGGCACGATCACGTGCAGCCAGAAGGAATACACGGAGAGTATCGAGAAGATTCCATCTCGGCTGAGCGTCGGAAGACAAAGGAGTCGAAGGCCACGGCGGAGGAAAGGGCGATGCTCCACAGCGGCAACGGCCAGATCCAATGGCTGGTCCGTTTTACGCGGATGGACTTGGCGTTCCAGCTGGTGGAAAGCCAGGCTAGGGCTCACGACAGCGACCTGAAGGTGCAAGATCTGCTTGACTACGACAAGCTCGTGAGCGATGCCAAGACCGACCACGTGGACATCACCTTCCAGAAGTTAGACATGGACAACGTGATTGTGGTGGCAGTGGGGGACTCGAGCCACGGCGACGTGGGCAAGACGAATACCGCTAGCCAGGCGGGCCTGGTCATCCTGCTCGCAGACAATACCGACGATCAGTTCCTACGCAGGAAGCCTGCCAAGGTTACCCCGATGCTGTGGCGATCGCACCGCAACAAGCGGGTGGTACGGAGAACCCTGGCAGCCGAGACGATGGCAGCCCTGGAGGCGGTCGAGAGTGGCGACATGCTGAGACAACACCTGGTGGAGTTGCACCAAGGGCTGGGCTACCGGACCCACATGGATGACGTAAAGGCGATCAAGATAGTGGAGGTCACCGACTGCAAGTCGCTCTACGACCTGCTTCAGAAGCGAGGGACGGTTCCGTCCGAGAAGCGGCTGCTCATCGACATCGAGTCGCTCAGGAACGACATTGAGTTCAACAGCGTGGTGAGCAAGTGGGTCAACACCAAGCAGATGCTCGCCGGCTGTCTTACCAAGCAGGACGTCCGCGCGGGCGACTACATGAGGTATGTGCTCTGGACGGGCGAATACCGTTTGACGGAGGACCCCATTGCAGAGCAGATCATTTCTGAGCAACGGATGGAGTTGAAAGGTCGCAGGGGCGAGTATTATCGCTCGAAGTATTCTCGTCGACATCGACCTGCCGACCAACCTTTTGTACGGGAAGGCGACACGCACTTCGAGGACTGCATCGCGGACCTGAGGTACAATCCGCATGCCGCTCGACCTGCTCCCAAGCACTATCTCCGTTGGCGGATGATGCTGGGCCAGGGCGAGGACGACGTCTACTACGAGAAGCTCGAGGATATGGTCGACTGGTCAGGGCTGGACCAGGTGGCGAAGCGTCGGAGGATTCCGACCCATGTGCGTAAGTTGCTGAGGATATACGCACCGCCAAAAGGGGCTCTCGAGCGCTACGAGAAGGACTTCACGGAAAAGCACAGCCTGAAGAAGACGGACATGACCAAGGACATCGAGCACCACGAGGACGCGAATGTAATTTCGAACGAAGGTGACGAGCATCACAATACGGACGGTACTGCGGACTTGGACGATGTGAAGGAGATCTACATGATGGACACCGCAGGTGCTGAGACCGAGGAGATCGGAGGAGGCGCCGCGGGAGCTGGTGCAACGCTGGTGGTGTGTGCGGTGTGCCGGATGGTGGTAGACCAGTGCGAGTGTCAGCCGAGGACTCGCAAGAAGGCCAATCACAACGTCCCCGTCCCCAATGACGGCGATGAGTGGGTCGAGGTTCCAGGCGAAACTGAGCGATCCGGAGGATCGACATCCAGGAAGAAGACGACGGAACTACCGATGAATAAGGCTCGCAAACTACATGAGCGCCTGAAGCATGCATCCTACAAGCAGGTGGAGCATGACCTTGGCGACGTGCTGGAGGGCGACATCCCAGAGGCGTACCAGCTGACGGTCGCAGGATGCAGCAAGTGCCGTCGAGCTAGTTGCGACACGGAGAAGATCCCGAGCGGCAGGTGCAGCGAGAAAGGAAAAGGCAAGTCACGGAGTGCATGCAGGGTTGACCCAGACGAAATGTGTACATCCAGCGGATCAGCTCACGACTGTTGGCACCAACCAAAATAAGGAGAAGGTGCGCTGCCGCCTGTGTGACACACTGCTCAAGTGGTGGTCCGAGGAGAAGGAGCTTCGCGCAGAGGTCAAGGCTATCCGCCTCGAGAAGCAAAAACGGGAGCTCTTGAGTCTGTCGAGAGCACCGACGGCCGGAGGATCCTCGACGGGATAAGCTACTGCATGACACAGTCGCTCGAGCTATCGTGAGTGAGCGGCACCTCCATATTTACATATTCTTGTTTGTTGTTGAACTCAGCCATCGTCGGCTCGTAGGCACGCTTAGTCAGAGAAAATAGTATGAGTGTGATTTGTGGGGGCTGAAGACCGCTTTCCCCTGTTTCACCGGACTGACACCGCGCTTGGGCCCCAGTCAAACCAGCGCCCATTCCCCAGAGCAGCAATTAGGAGCGGGAGATGGCCCGCGACAGCAGGGATCCTCGGTCGCTTTCGATCGAGTGTCCTCCGAGCTGGACCCGCCCCGACACGCGGAGGCTCCTCGAGGGAGGGAGCACGAGCGCGAACGAGAGGGACCCCACCCACTTGAACGAAGGATTGCAAAGGATTGCAAAAAAACCCTTCGAAGGATTGCAAAAAAAACCCTTCGAAGGTTTTTGTTGCAATCCTTCGTCGAAGGTCTTTTTTGCAATCCTTCGAAGGGTTTTTTTGCAATCCTAGGTTTTTTTGCAAGCCCCCTCCGACCCCCCCCCCCGGGAGAGGCCGCCCTCGAGGCCCGCGCACCCCCCCGGCGCCGCCGGGCGCCTCCCGCGCCGCCCCGCGTCGGGGGGCCGGCGCCGCCGCCGCCGGCGCCCCCCGGCGCGCCCGCGGCCGCCGCCGCCGCGGCGCCCCCTGGCGCGCCCGCGGCCGCCCCGCCTGCGCGGGCCGGCTCGTCCGCCTCGGACTCTCTGTTTGTCTCTCTCTCTCTCTCTGTCTGTCTGCCTGCCTGTCGCTCTCTCTCTCTCTCTCTCGTTCTCTCTCTCGTTCTCTCTCTCTCTCTCTCTCTCCCTCTCTTCCTGACCCCGCTCTTCTGGCAACGGCGACGACGACCGCGACGGGGGCGGCGGCGACGAGGACCCCCACGACAACGACATTCACGGCGACGGCGGCGGCGACAGCAACGACGGCACGACGACAGCACGCACAGCGACAGCAGCGACGGCCATGACGACAGCCATGACGACAGCCACGGCGACGACGGCGACGACGCCCGAGGCGGTGGACGGACGACGGCGACGGCGGCCCCTCTCAGCGCGGCGGCGCCACCGCCGCCCGCGGCCCGCTCCGCCGGCACGTCGCCGCCACCGCGCTGTCGGCCGCGCCTGCCGGCCCAGGGGCTCTTCTCGGGGGCGCCGTCGCCGCCAACGGCGCCGCCGAGGGACGAGGGCTATAGGACGATGGAGGAGGGAGGGAGGGGGGGGCGAAGACGAGACGCGGGAGGGACGGGGGAGGGAGAGAGGAGAGGGGAGGAGGGGAGAGGAGAGGAGAGGAGAGGGGAGAAGGAGAGGAGAGAGAGGGGAGAGAGGGGAGAAGGAGAGGAGAGGGGAGAAGGAGAGGAGAGGGGAGAAGGAGGGGAGAGGAGGGAGAGAGGAGAGGAGAGGAGAGGGGAGAAGGGAGCGCAGGCCCGCGAAGAATGGGAAACCCAAAGATCCTCTCGCTGAGTATCAAAATGTTCCGAGCGTCTACTGGTTCCCCGAAACCCATAGCGCGACGCGATCGGAGCGCGTGGCGTGATCAGCTCTAGACCGTGGCCTCCCGCCTCCCGTACATCCTGCTACGCCGACGAGGCGGATTGTCCCAGATGTGTGGCGGCCGCACCGGTCGCGTCACCCGTGCAGAGGCCCAGTGGCGCGCGCCGAGTCGATCGCGAACGAACCCCTGGAAGATTTTGTAGAGCAACCGCCCGGTTCTTTGCGCAGGGCTCCGATCCACATTGCGTTCATCAGCGCGCCCCTGGAGAGGCCACGATAATTACTGTCACCGAAGGTCTGCATCAGGCAGCTCAGCATGAGCAACGCCAGCAGGAACAGTGGCCCGACCTGCTCTCCATTACAGAAGGCCGACGGGGGCCAACGCGAACATGCTGGTGTCGACGATCTCGCGCTGTGTGGGGCGGCAGCACACACCCCGAGACAGTCGGGCCGCTGAAAGAAGGAACGCTAAATAAGGAACGAAGCCCTTTCTTGGCCCTGCAAGCGCCTCCGTGCCCCAGGAGGGCAAGAGGAACAATACTGGAGGAACCTAACTAAGGAACATCGAGCCCCTTCCGAACCGAAACAGTTCCTTATTTCAGCGTCTTGGGGCCCCTTGCGCGGCCCCAGGACGGGCGAAAACCAGCTCGGACTCTACACTCCGTGGCCCCCAAGATGCCCCGAATGCTATCTACGCTGGTTCACGCTGCGCTTGAAGTCGCCGAGGAGTGCCCAAAAAGCACCCGGGGCGCCCCAAGAGGTCTCCAAGAGGGACTGTACTCCATGTCCGGCCAGGAGCTCTTGCCTAGCGTGTCGCCGCGGCGGCCCTGGCGTGTCGCCGCGGCGGCCCCGGCGCGTCGCCGTGGCGGCCCGGCGCATCGCCGCGGCGGCCCGGGCGACGCGCTGTGCCTTGCGAGCGGGCGCCGTGTCGCTCCGCAGCGCGGGGCGGGAGGCTGAGAAAAGCTCGGGGCATGGACGCTCGGGGATACAGTCGGCCTTGATTGGACAGGACACGCGGGAGGACACCAGACCCTTCCGAGGGCCACGTTGCCGTGGGGGATGTAGGAGGCATGGGCTGCGAGGCACAGGACACAAGGGTACCTAAGGGTACCCTTGATTTGGCAGGGTCGACCTACTAATCAGGGCCGAATGTAGCGGATAGCGTGTCGCACCGAAGCGTGTCGGGCCAGGACTGGCGGCGCGCCTCGCGAAGCCGGAACTCCTGACCCCACGCGCCACAGAAATAATATCCCCACTGGCCGGCACTGCAGGCCTTTTCGGTGTCACACGGCATCTCCGTGAAGGGAAGGCGGGCGCCATCGGCAGGGGCGCGGCCTGCCCTGGCGGCGTGCTGCCATGGGCACCCGGGATGGCCAGATGGCCCAGTCCCATGGGCACCCGGGATGGCCCCCACCTCCGTGCCAAGCGTCAAATCCACCAGGTCCATGCCAGTGTCAGGCCGGGCATGCCCCCCTACAGGCGGATTTGGGAAGAAAACTTCAAAATAGTCCCAAAGTAGTAGAATATACTCCAGAATGGTAAAAAAATCGTCCCCAGACTATTTTTTGACTACGTTTTGATTTTCCTCCTGTAGAGGGACACGCCCGACTTACTGCCAGTGGTCCTGCCTTTCACGCGGACGATGGCGAGAACCGCCTCCACCACCACCAGGAGGGGCGCCGCCTCACCGGCAGCACAGTCGTTAACACCTCCAGGTCGCACCGCACGAACCCTCGGCGCAGCGAAACAAAGGGCGACCCCGCTGGCACCCGGAATTTCCTGCACATGCTCTCGTCCCACGTTGGTACACGAAAGCGGCGCAGCGCCTCTAGTCGAAGTCGAGATGGCCGAGCAGAACGCCCCGCGTCTGCTCAAAGCCTCCTGGGCCTTCACGCCTGAGTGAAAATCAGATCCTGCCTCTGCCTTGCGTTATGTCGGGCGTGTCCCCCTACAGGGGGATTTTTGACGAAAAACAAACAATACCCCCAAAATGCCCCCAAATTGTCAAAAAAACAACTTTAAAAAAGTCTCCAGACTATTTTTGGATTATTTTTTGACGATTTGTGGGGTATCTTTTATTTTTCGTTGAAAATCTCCCTGTATGGGGGACAGGCCCGACCTAAGCCTTGCACCGCGGTCGCCGAGCCACTCGCGAGAGCAGGGGGCGCCGGGACCCGCAAGACCTCTGCACTTCTTCGACGCGAGCGGTGGTGGCCATCAAGGAGCCGTGTCACACGCACGATGGGGAAGCCCGTGACTCAGCACACGCCTCATCACAAGTGGCCGCAGGAGAAGAGAAAGAAGAAGAAGAAGAAGAAGAAGAAGAATAATAATAAGAAGAGAAAGAAGAGGAGGACACGGAGCAAGATAATAAGACGGAGGAGGTCGAGTCCGGACAGGACCCCCTCCTCATTCGCCTCGCCCTTCTCCTGCCTCTCCTCCTCCCGTTCCGTTTCCTCCTCGCCCTCTCCTCCTCATCCTCCTCCTCCTCCTCCTCCTTCTCCTCCTCCACATCCCTCCTCCCTCATCACTCCTCCTTCTTTCCTCCTCCAGGCCTCCTCAGCACCCCTGCTTCGCATTCCCCCTCGTTCCTCATCTATCCTCGCTCCTCAACCTCATCCCCACCCGAGCTGGGACAACGCCCCTCGATAGACTGCCGATATCGTGATTACATGTCTGGAGCGCCAGAGCCCTCTACATGCCGCCCCGCCGACAACGCGACCTCCAGGCAGAGCAGCCCCACCGCCGGGCAGAGCAGCTCCCCCCACGCCCCGAGCGTCCTCCCTCCTCTTCCCGGCGTCCGCCGGCCAGCCTGGGCCGGATGAAACCGCCGCTGCCAACGAACATGTTCACCTCCTTCTCCGTCCAATCCGCCGCGTCCTCGGCACGGTCGGTGGGCAACTTCGGCGCTCAAGAGGGCTTGGCCGGGCCGCCCAGGTCGATTCCCCCCCATCCCAACCCTGACTAGATAGAGCCGCCCGGTTCGGGACGAACAGAGGGCGGCGGAAGAGGAAGGCGGGACGGCGCAGGCGGAGGAGGAGGGAAAGGAGGAGGACACGGCTGAGGTAGGGGAGGAGGAACAGTAGCTGCGTAAACAGGAGGCGGAGGAGCAGGCTGCGGAGCGGGAGGAGAAGGGGGAGGGACAACGGATCATGGAACGCAGGAGGAAGCGGAGGACGAAGGAGCAGGGGACGGAGACGAGTGATGAGGGAGAGGGA